CACGGCAAGGCCTCGCCAGCCCGCCCATACAGGCATCGATTAAACTTGACCTGTTTGCGCAGTCGATTGCGCTTTCAAATCGCCCATGGCAGTAGGCTGTGGATACCCAAGGCGTTCCACTCGACTCTTCACGCTAACTACAGCTGTAAGGCGGCAGGGTTTGGAGTGACCTTTGAATGGCCAGACGCGTAGTTGCACTCCCGACACGCCGTCTATTTAACCCCCAACACAGGCGATTTACCTCACTTTCGAAAACCACTTCACGGGTTGTGTTTGTCCGGCTTCCGCTCTGTTCAGGCTACTGCTATTCAGCTGTACACAATTTGATCATTATACTGCCCCCAGTATGGACCAACGACACAGGACATTGGAGATGCCCGGGCGTAGGTCAGGCGAGCTTGAAATATGTTTCACGACGAATGCTGAAAGTAATCGCGACGTCTGCCCTGGATGTTGTCAGCACAAGTTGCACCAAAATAACCTCATCATGAGTGAGCATATCGAACGATCTTGTCTTACAAAAAGCCTCAATTTCTGAGATTAGTGAGCGTCTGCAGCGTTTAGAGGACGAGAGGGTCAGGTGGAGGCGTTCCACGGGCACGGTGCCGTCTACTTCGACCCTACCCACAAACCCTGTGCCATCGCCTTTGGCCTCACTGGTCGATTTCGACATATTTGAGAAAAAGCTATCAGAAGGTGGATTTCTCAGGCAAACGGTAAGGCTCCTGAATTCTCCTTCGTTCAGTTTCAGGTGGCATACATGCGATGGCTGGGCGGTGACACAGCCCGAGGTCTCATTAAACGAATACTGCATTCACTATTTACGGACACCCTTATGCAGCCATTTAACTTAACGGGAAGCCACGGGAAAAGAGATTTTAGTCTCACGCAAACGTACGAAATGCTCAGGCGTAGACATAAATTGACGACAAATGTTCTGCTTTTATATAGATTTTCATCATACATGGAATGCCGGTCGTTCCTAAATCGTTCTGTACATTTGAGAAGGTGGTACGAAGTGTTTTTATGTCAGCGATCACCGTCGTCTCTGCAGGCCGCCGAAGCCACCCCTATAAGAAGAAGGACCTTCCGAACTGATTCACTACACAGCTCCTTTCGTTTTGTGCCCATTCTATTTATTTACTCCTTTTAAACCGCACCTAACATTAATACCATTTCACCCCAACTACGTATTTGCCTGTCAGCATGAAGGAGGATATGGTCGCATGCCGAACGGGAGCCTCTTAGATCGAGGATAATGGGGGGCTTAATGTTGTTGGGGATAGAGGTACGCTGGTACGGCACCTTTATGAGAAGGACGACGCTCCAAACTGGTTCATCACAGAGCTCCTATCTTTTTGAATTCTTTGTATATGCGTACTCTTTTTTTACATTGCGCCACATTTATACAATTTTCCCCAT